GTGCCAGGTGAGACTCAAGCTCAGGATCTGGGAGGAGCCAGGGTGGAAATCCTTTAATCCTTTCAAAAGAACGGAAGTATCCTCATTGGCAAACGATAGGATTACTGAATTCTCAGAGCTGTAGTTCTACCAATCAGTCACTTCTTAGATGGCCTCAGTCCCTTGAGGGCAAGTAGGAATAGGGCTTTTTTTAAAAAAAAAACAAAAAACAATTTTTATTTTAAAGAGTAGGTGAGAACAGAAGCTTGGTGAACAGAACTTTTAAAAAAAATAGTGAGAAAAAGAGAAACAGACAAAGGGAATTTTTATTTTGAACTGAGATTTTCACCAAAGTGTAGGAGTTGTTGTTGTTATGTGCCGTCGAGTTGCTTGCGACTCATGGCGACCCTATGCACCACAGCTCTAAACTCTGCCCTGTCCGGTGCCAATCTCACTGTCTCCGACACACTCATCCCGATTGCCCCAGTCACCGAATGACTCCATCTCCCAGAGGGCCTTCCCCTTCTGTGCCTGCCCTCCACCCTCCCAAGCATGACGTCCCTCTCCATGGACCGGACCCTCCTTACAACATGACCAAAATATGTCACACAAAGCCTCAGAATCCTTGCCTCCAAGGAGCAGCCCAGTGTCTGTGTCTGTCTGCGTCTGTGTGTGTCTGTCTGTGTCTATTTGTGTGCCTGTCTGTGTTTTTCTGTCTGTGTCTGTATGTCTGTGTCAGTGTGTGTCTGTCTGTGTCTCTCTGTCAGTGTCTGTGTCTGTGTCTGTGTGGGTGCCTGCGTGTGTGTGTGTGTGTTTGTGTCTGTATCTGTGTGTGTGTGTGTGTGTGTGTGTGTTTGTCTGTCTCTCTGTGTCTCTGTCTGTCTTTGTGTGTTTGTCTGTCTCTCTGTGTCTCTGTTTGTGTCTCTCTGTGTCTCTGTCTGTCTTTGTGTCTGTGTCTGTCTGTTTCTGTCTGTGTGTGTGTCTGTCTGTCTCTGTGTCTGTGTGTCTGTCTGTCTGTGGGTGTGTACATTTCATAGATGGTTTCACCATTACAGCAATGAATCAACTTCTGGGGGTTTCCCACACCCCTCACCCCAATAACACAGAGCAGTTCTTTCCTGAAGTCTCTGCGTTTCTCCACGATGTGCCGGAGATGTCATTGTGCATGAAGAGGAATATGTAGCCGCTGTCGCTATTGTCCAGACTCACGTTGTCCTCGTGTGTGAAAGGCAGAGGCTGCAGAATGTCCAAGGCCGAGGAGTGTGTGTATATGGGGGGGAGGGGGTGTCGCAGTCTGAGCATCCCTGGAAGCTTCAATAACCCACCTACTTATAGTGAACCAACCCTCTTGTGTGGACAGCAGAGGTAACGTGAACTGGGCTGTGTGCTGTGAGTGATCTCAGCAAAGATCAGTAACACAGAAAGTGGACGACTAGACAGATGGTCGTTCGGAAGTTTCTCAGCAAAGAGGGCAGAAAACACAGACCACAGGGGCGCAGGGTGACACTGGCAGCCACCGTGAACATAAAACTATTTTCTACAGCAATGTCTCTGGAATGAAGCCCTGCCCTGTCCCACTCGGCGAGACCAGGAGTCAGAGGTGTTTTGTCAGCAGACACCAGGAATGCAGTGGTGTGGTCAGGAGCACTGTGCCCACTGCTGTGACTAGGATCCGTGTCTGGTCTCTGGTTTGAGGAGAGTCACCAAGGGGCCATGGCACTTCCTGTTGGAGATAGGGGTTCCTCCCTCCTAGAGTTGAGAGATCTGGGGGATCTCCCACAAGGGAGAGCAGAGTACTGTGCACAGATGGCGGGAAGGACCATGGACGAGTCATCTCCCCTCCTGGGCCTACAGAGCCACTGCATGTAGAAACTCATTTATCCTTCTATGATGAGTATATGTTACGGAAAATTTATATGGTATTTATATGTATATGAAATATAGTATATTATGATGAGTGTTTATGGAATATGATATTGCATGTACATTGTATTCAGAGCATGTATGTTAGTTAGGTTGAGTATGCAGATTTGGGGAGGTCTTGTGGGTAAGGAGCTGTACTCCCAACCTAAAGGTCTGAACCCATCAGCTGCCCTGAGGGAGAAAGATGGGAAATCACTTGTGTGGTTTGCAAACTCTGATAATCCACTCAGGGGTTGGCTCTGAGTCAGTTCGCAGTCGACAGCATTGAGTTGATCCTTTCTGTATGGAGTAGACTGTATATTTACACTTATATTAAGTATTAATTACCTGAAGCGCTTGCTGCAGAGGGTCAAGGACTGCAGCCTTCAATATGGATTGATTCCGTGACTGGGGTCATGGGGGTAGGTGTGTCAGAGACAATAAGGTTGGCACAGGATAGAGCAGGGTTAAGGCTGTTGTACATGGGTCGTTATGAGTTGCAAGCAAATTGACGGCACATACCAAGAAAACCAGTAGTCTGCCGAAACAAGCATGTTCCTTTCTTGGAAGAACTTTCTATTCCTTAGAACCATATAGGCTCACTTCCCCCCAAACCCCAGGTTAAGTCAAGAAGACAAAGATTCTCACTACTGGACCAATTGGCAGCATCAGAATGGATGGTGAAGAGATTGAGATTGTTTACAGCTTTAGTTTGCTTCTAGATTGATTTAGTGACTGGGGTAATCGGGATGGGTGTGTCAGAGAGTGCGATTGGCACAGGACTGAGCAGAGTTTAGGGCTGTTGTACATAGGATCACTATGAGTCGCAATCGACTCGACGGCACATAACAACAATGAATTAGTAAAGTATATCATGTTTTGTGTGTATCATGCATACCATGTTGTGCATTGTGCATAATAAATCTAGTATGGATACATAATCCATGGAGTATATATTGACCATATTTTGCTAAAAGTATATTAAGCCTGTGTATTAAGGTGCGCCTGATACAGGCCATGGTATTTGCAATCGCTTATTATGCATCAGGGAGTTGGACAATGACTAGGGAGGACAGAAGGAGAGTGGATGCTTTTGAGCTGTGGTGCTGGAGAAGGGTACTGAATGTACCCTGGACTGCCAGGAAAACAAACGGATTTGTCTTGGAGAGGATTAAACCAAGCTACTCCTTGGAGGCAAGGATTCTGGGGCTTCGTCTGACATACTTTGGACATGTTGCCAGGAGGGACGGGTCCTTGGAGAGGGACATCATGCTTGGGAGGGTAGAGGGACAGCGCAGGAGGGGAAGACCCTCTATGAGATGGATTGATTCGGTGACTGGGGTAATCGGGATGGGTGTGTCAGAGGCGGTGCGGTTGGCGCAGGATAGAGCAGGGTTTAGGGCTGTTGTGTATAGGGTCGCTATGAGTTGGAAACGACTCGACGGCACATAACAACAATTATATTGCTGTTGTTTTTAGGTGCCTTCAAGTTGAGAAGTTGAAGCTGCACTGAAGGCACTGGCAAAACATAAGTCTCCAGGAATTGATACCGATTACCCTATTTCAACTAACAGATGCAGCCCTGGATGTGTTCACTTATCTATGCCAGGATATATGGAGGACAGCTGCTTGGCCAACTGATTGGAAGAGATCCATATATTATTACCCTTCCCAAGAAAGGTGATCCAACAGAGGACTGTTTTGCTTGCCAGAAAGAGAGAAAGGGATTCCAGATGACTATGGACCAGATTCCCGGGGTGGGGGTCAGGGGGCGTGGGAATGGTCCTGCACATAGTTGGCAGGATATCAGAACAGTGGTACCAGTGACTTCAAATGGGTCCTCACAGGAACAGACACGTTTTCCAGACTGGGCTTTGCATACGAGGTAACCGATGCAAATGCCAAAAAATATCATCAAAGGACTGGAACAAAAGATACTCTACAAGTTTGGGCCACCAACTTAACATTTCTGCAGACTAAGGAATGCACTTTACAGCCTACAGAGTTTGGGTAAAACTAAATCACAAATGGGGCGGAGGTGAAATAATACTTGAGGACTAAATAATGAAGCCATGTTGTTTTGTTGTTATGTGCCGTCGAGTCGCTACCCTATGTACAACAGCCTTAAACTCTGCTCTGTCTTGTGCCAATTGCACTCTCTCTGACACTCTCATCCCGATTACCCCAGTCACTGAATCAATCCACCTCATCGAGGGCCTTCCCCTCCTGCGCTGTCCCTCCACCCTGCCAAGCATGATGTCCTTCTCCAAGGACCAGTCAGTCTCTCCTTACATTTCCAAAAACGACTGGAACAGCACATCAGCAGAGAACTGCCAGAATGAAGCCATAGTAGCTCTTAAATCAAAGACCATAGCCTGCCTGGAAAAGTTGGAAAATGACGTTTTAGGATTTCAACTGTTCACCCACTTAATACCACTGGGGCACTTCTGGCGTGTATTTGGAAATGAAACATCACCTTTCTGAGAGGGAACATCCCAGGAAGTTGGCTATGTCCTGGAGATCTACTATCATTGCTGATTTTTTCCCCTTTAATAAAGTTTGAGTAAATGGGGAGAAAATACCCCAAAACCCCACCAAACCTCCAAAACAGTTGGCTTGCAGCATTCATTCAGTAGGAGCTTCATGAAGGAGCAAGTCCTTGGTATAGTCTTAAACGGCAACCTCAGTTCAAATCCCAGCCTTTCTATTTAATAATATATGTGCTACTTTGCATAAGTTGCTTTCCTCGTCTGAGTTTGCTTGCCCAGCTTCAAGATGAAGATTTTTAAAGCCATTGTGCATATTCTGATGTTTAGCCTCGTTCACTGTTACTTTCCTTTTAGTCAAAGAGAATGACAGCCTCAGTTTCCCCACCTTGACGCGACCCCCTCCCGCCAATATTAGGAAACAGCGCCACCTACCGTTGCCCGATCGCGGATCTCCGAGGCCTCCGCGACTGCTGGTTCCAGTGAATGATCAGCGCCCGGGAGGAGCGTGGTCCCGCCCACTTCCGGGGCCACGTGATTTCCTTCCGGGTCGTCCAAGATGGCGGCGTCCAGGTCCACGGCGTGAGTGCTGTGTGCGACAGCCGGTTTCCAATTCAGCTCGTTTGAGAACAGCAAGGAGTTCGTGCCATGTCACGACTGATCGTGAAGAACCTCCCGAATGGGGTGAGTGTAGATCCCGGGGCTGCGATCTGAGTACGAGGGCCTCCCGGAGCTCAGGGGGCGGTGGCAGGTGAGAATTAGGCTCCTGTTCTGGGCAGGACGCCTCGTTGGCAAACGAGAGTTAGAACTGTAGTTACAGTATTCACGCACGTCTTTTAAGGCCTCAGTAATTTTAGGTCAAGTAGGAGTAGTTTAAGAAAATGAAGTTTTAAGTTAAGAACGCTAAGCCGTTTATCCTGTCACAGTATCGTATTAATGTTTATGCTTTTTTGTCGTATCATACTTGGCTCCACAATCAACAGTCTTGGCACCAGTAGTCAGGAAATCAAAAGACGTGTTGCGATGGGAAAGTCTGCTGTTAGGGACCTCTCCAAAGTACTGGAGAGCAGTGGTGTCATCTGGAGATTAAGGTGCGTCTGATCCAGGCCATGGTCTTTGCAATCACTTGTTATGCATCAGAGAGTTGGACAATGACTAGGGAGGACAGAAGGAGAATTGATGCCTTTGAGCTGTGGTGCTGGAGAACACTATTGAGAGTACAATGGACTGCCAGGAAAGCAAACCGATTCATCGTAGAGAGGAGTAAACCAGGCTGCTCCTTGGAGGCAAGGATTCTGGGGCTCCGTCTGACATGCTTTGGACATGTTGCCAGGAGGGACGTCCTTGGAGAAGGACATCATGCTTGGAATGGTGGAGGGCAGGCGCAGGAAGGGATGGCCCTCTATGAGGTGGATTGATTCAGTGACTGGGGTAATCGGGATGGGTGTATCGGAGACGGTGCGATTGGCACAGGACAGCAGAGTTGTACACTGGGTTGCTATGAGTCGGAAGTGACTCAACGGTATATGACAACAACAACAACATACTATCACATTAACCTCTATCCTATCATAGTGTTCTTTTCAATTTTATTTTATCACGCTATTGTATTAACACAAAGAACACCTGAAGAACACCTTTTAGCCACTTAGTAATCCTGTCATACTTGCCTGGTGACTACAGAAACTGGTTCATGGTCCCAATTCCATAACTGGGACTCGATCAATACTTGTGGTCTGATTCATTATCCCTAAGTACACAGCATTACCTGGCCTACATAGCCCTTGCGCTCGGTGGGTAAGACATTTCAACTGCTAATCAAAAGGTTAGCACTTCGAATCCACCAGTTTTTTCTCCAGAGAAAGATAGAGAGAGTCTCCTCTCATACAGATTTTCAGCCCTGGACACTTGATACCAGGTCCCTGTGGATTGGAATTCACTATACTGCAGTGGATATACTCTCTGACAGTCACTTTCTTTAATGGTTTGGGGGGGGGGGTTGTTTTTTTGAGCCTGATCACAGGAGTTTTATTTTTATACCCATTTAAAAAATTTTAAAAAACCCAATGTCTGAGTCACTCATTATGTTGAGCCACTATGCAATCTGTTTTCCATAGTCTGCAATCATTTTTATAAAAAACATTTTTAATTGTGATTTTAACGGAAGTTTACAGAAAAGTTGTATTTTCATTCATTTTTTGTTGTACATTTTCTTCCCTCACCCTTCCCTAGTTCACGTTCTTTTTTTAAAAGTATTCATTCATTGTTGCACAGTTTCCTCCTTCCTTCCTTCCCCCTTCCTCAGTCCTCTTCAATACACCTCTTACTCTGGTCTGTTGTCTTACATATAATGCCTAATAATATCTTTTTTAAACAGTTCTCTCCCTCATCTGGTCCAATACGGTGTTCTGTCCACTCTTGGCCTATTCTTCTTCTAAACACCCCCCCCCCCCGTCAGTCCTGCTTCATAACAGTGGTATTATTCATTATTTGCCCCTTTGAAATTTCACTTAGCATAATATCCTCAAGGGTCACTCATGTGTGTAAACTTTTACAAGTTCCTTATTTTTCAGTGCTGCATAGTATTCTATTGTGTAAATATACCATTGTTTTACTTTCTTTTTTTTTTTTTCATTGTTTTACTTTCTATTTATTTGCTGATGGGCATCTGGGTTTATTTCCGTCTCTTTGCTATTGTAAATAACACAGTAATAAACATGAGTGTGCCTACGTCTGTTTGGATAGAGGTTCTGATTTCTTTAGGTTATATTCCCAGCAATAGAATTACTGGGCTAAAGGGTATTTCTATTTCAGACTTTTGAAGAAAGTCTCAAACTACCTTCCATAGTGGTTGAACCATTTTACACTTATCCCAGCAGTGAATAAGGGTTCCAATCCCTCTACAACCTCGCCAGCATTTGTTTGCTGCTCTGTTTGATTTTGCTGTTGTTTCTGATCTGCAACCATTTTGTTGCTTATTACTATATTCATTTATTCTAAAAAGTATCTACTGTGTGGCAGGCAGGAGCCTTGGTGGCACAGTGTTTTAAGTGTGCAGCTGCAGACCGGAACGCCTTTGGTAGTTCCACCAGCTCAGCTGCTCAGTGGGAGAACGAGGAGGCCGTCCACGGGGTGGGGATTTACAGCCCCGGAAACCCTCTGAGGCAGTTGTGTTCTGTCTGTGAGGCTTGCTCTGAGTTGGAATTGACTGAATGACAGTGGGTTTTGGTACCATGTACCAGGCACGCCGCTGGGCTTCTTTTAGAATTAATTCCTAGTGTGTTACATAGCTGAACAAAAGCGAGTGTGTCTCAGGTGCTTGGAACCCACAGCAGCTCTGAGGAAGGAGAATGTTCAGTCTTCCCTTGTGATCCCAGGATCTGCAGCCTGGGAGTTGTGGTGGGTGGATGCGGTGAAGCAGAACCAACTCAGTGGCATTAAGTGTTAGCCTCATACCAATCAATCTCTTGGGCAGGAGGTAACTTCTCAGTTGTTCTGAGACTTAGTTCTTATGTCAGTGAAATGAGTTAGGGCTCTAGGCCACAGAGCAGTAACTGTGAGAGCTGTAAAGTGATCCTGATTGAATTCCGAAGCAACTCCGCCCTCTTCCTCGTCTCAGGCTCCCTATGTGGGGAGTTTCCAGGTGGGGGTTCTTACAGCCTTGCATCTGTCTCATTTTCTCCCTTTATCTTGAGTCTCCCCAACTCCTCCTTACTGTCACCCGTTTCGCATCAGATGAAGGAGGAGCGTTTCAAGCAGCTCTTCGCCGCCTTCGGCACACTGACAGACTGCAGCCTGAAGTTCACCAAAGATGGCAAGTTCCGGAAGTTTGGCTTCATCGGCTTCAAGTCTGAGGAGGAGGCCCAAGCAGCCCTGTGCCATTTCAACAAGAGCTTTGTCGACACAGCCCGGATCACGGTGAGTTGACACAGATCTAACCTCTCCAGCCTGTTAAGGTGATGCCCACTTGATTTTGCATCCAATGCTCGGCTTCAAACTATTATCCCCTGGCTGTGACCTCCTGGTCGTTGGTATCAGTGGTTCAAGAGTCACCTAGAGAGCTTGTTAAAGCCGTATCGTGGACCTCATGTGCAGAGATGCTGGGGGCAGGAAATGGCATTTGCTGCAAGTTGATGGGTGCTGTCAGTGCTCCTGGCCCGAGGACCAACCACGCTTTGAGAGCCACTGGTCCATGTTGATTGACTCACCCAGCCAGCAAGCACTGACAGAGCAGAGACCCGCTTGTTATTTTGTTATTGTTAGATGCCATCGAGCTGTCTCTGTCTCACAGCACCTCACCTACAGCAGAAGGAAGCACTGCCCCAGCCCACACCACCTTCATGGGCGTCCGCGTTGAGCCCATTGTTGCCACCGGCTTGTCGATCTGACTCTTTGAAGGTCTTCCTTTTTTCCTTTCACTGATCTTCCTCTCCTTCACCAAGCACTGTGCCCTTCTCCACGCCCTGGCCCCTCCTGATAGCGTGTCCAGTGCACGTGAGTCCATGTCCAGTGCTCCTCATTCCCACCTCTCAGCAGCATTCTGGCTGGAATTCTTTCAAGACAAATCCCTTCCCTGCTTGCTATTGAGAATTCAGGGGCATGGTAACCCCTGGCTCCTGGCCTCGTGGAGCAGGCAGCCTGTGGGGACCACAGTGCTTGAGCTCGGGGCCACCATTGCTGTGATGGAAGCAAGGGAAGGCCCCCTGGGTAGGCCTAATGAGGAATCATCTGTTTATCTATATGTAACTGACAGAGTGACCGCACAGTGGACTTGCAGGTATCACGATGGAGCGGGCGCCAGGGTTCAGCCTGTGGTTCATAGGACGTCTTTTGGCCGTATTCGCCTCCATGGCATCGAACAGTAGTCTGAGGGGAGTTGCACTGCAAACGCAGAAGTCATGCATGTCTGGGAGTTTTCATCCTTTCGCGGTTCTGCGGGAGAAAGACAGGCAATCTCCCCTGCAATTTATGGCCTCAGAAACTCAGGGGAGGATCAGTACGGATCGGTTCTGACTTGGCGATGGCAAGTTCGAGAGCAAACACTGTGCCCAACGCAGACTATAGAGCAGGTGCTCGTCCGGTCCATCTTCTGCGGCGATGTCTGTCCATCTTTGAGGGTTTGTCCACAGAGGGGGCGCGGGGATGGCTTTTTCCTGCTATCAAGTTGATCCAGGTTTTTCCGACGATTTCATGTTGGCAGACTGCCTCCTTCCTGAAATATACTGGTAACCCCCCGTCGGTGTGCACAGTGCTCATGACCGTCCAAGGCCGCGAAAACGTAGCGTTTTCAGTCACTCACTGAGTGAGTGACGACTGCCACGTTCACACGGCCCGGCTTCCCACTGCTCGTATGTTGCCCCGAGCTCGTGTGACTGTCACCCTCTGTGTCCCTGAGCAGGTGGAGTTCTGCAAATCATTTGGGGACCCGACAAAGCCCCGGGCGTGGAGCAAACATGCCCAGAAAGTAAGCCAGTGTCCAGCACCCTCCCAGGATCCCGTTTCCACGGAAACGAAGCAGGTGAGTCCGTGCCAGCCTGTCGTTGCCAGGGTGGTCACAGCTCTGTGGGGATGTCTGGTGTATTCCCAGGGCCCCTTCTCACGGTTCCGGGAGGTGGACCCTCCAGAGCATAACAGCTCATCTTCCTCTCACCCGCGTGAGCCTGACAGTCTGTGTTTTGTTTGCAGAGCAGTGAGGAGGAGAAGAAGAAGAAGAAGGTCACTGGTGAACTGGAGCAGGTGAGTCCAACTGCTGACCAGGGGCCCTGGGGACAGTCCTGGGTGGGCACGCAGTCTGGGTAGGTGGCTGACCCTGGCATCCAGAGCGCCTGCTCGGGGCCTTGGGGACAGTCCTGAGTGGACACACAGGCTGGGCAGGGGGCTGACCCGGGCACCCTGAGCACCTGCTCTCATGCCCCCACCTAATCTCCCCACTGGCTCCCCGGCCTGCTCATCCGGGGAACAGCGCATCCTGCCCTCCTCAGAGCCAGCTGTCCCCAGAGGCTGCAGTCTGCCTCGTGCCTTCGGAGGATTAGCAAGATCTAGCTCTTCCCTGAACCTCATCTGTCTTTCTCCTTTGCTTCCACTGTCACAACCACCAGCTGAAGGAAGACACCGAGTTCCGGGAGTTCCTGTCAGTCCACCAGCGGCGGACGCAGGTAGCCACGTGGGCCAACGATGCCCTGGCCGCCAAGCCCAAGCAGGGGAAGGGCCAGCCGGCGGGCGACTACCTCAATTTCGACTCAGACTCGGGAAAGGAGAGTGAGGAGGAGGGCCCCAGTGAAGACCTGGATGGTGAGGACCTCCTTGTGCCTGAGCGAGTGTCCAGTGTGGGACTGTGTGTGTTCAGGTCCATGTGGACAGTCCAGTGGGGTGTGGGGTGTTCGTGGGCCCCTCAGTGCCAGTAGCACAGGCTAGCTGGTCACCACTGTCAGCTCTGCCCTGCGGATGTCACAGCCTATTCATGGCATTCATGCAGTCCCTCCGCCATTATTTACAAAGCGCCCACTGTGTGCCCGGCCCTGTTTGAGGCATTGAGGCTGTAGCGGTGAGTGAAACACCGGAGTCGCTGCCCACGCAGGTGGAGTTGCTGTTGAGTACCACCGAGTCGGAACCGACCCGTACCTGAGCCTCCAGTGGGTTTTCGGAGGCTGACAAGGACGAGGGAGGATATTCGCCTGTCTTTATTCCAGTGAGCGGCCGATAGGTTCGAACCACACGCCTTGGAGTTGGCGGCTCAATTCTTTACCACTAAGCCAGAGATAAACAGTCAGCAAATCCGTGGTTGAGTGTGTCATATGGAGACATGCGCTGTAGAGGACAAGCCAGGGAGGACCCCTGGAGGGTGAGGAGGTGGTGGCTCTTGAGCAAAGCCCTTGAGGGGTATGAGTGAGGTGTGGCCTTCAGAGGGGGCTCCAGGTGCCCGGGCAGGCGTGCTGAGCGTCTGCGAGGCAGCCATTCTTTCTCACCTTTCCTTTCCTCGTCGTTCCATCCCCGTGGCCGGGAGGCTGGAGTTTCCGTGCTGAGCTGCGCCCACAGGCCTCATGGGAGTTAGCAGGCCACGGGCGGGGGAGGAACATAGGGGCAGCCAGGGGAGGGGCCGGTGTGTGGGCTCCGGGGACCAGCGTGTGGCCCTGGGCATGAAAGACGAGCAGCTTGAGTTTGGTCCTGGGCGCAGGCTTTTTGCTTTATTTTGAAGTTCTATTTTGTTGTGTCATCGGTGGAAGTTTACACAGCATCCCGTTCGGCAGTGTCTGGACAGATTTCTCGTCGACGTGGGTTATGCTTTGCCCAGTGCACGAGGGTTCTCAGTTTCCATCCTTTCTGGTCACTCCAGTCTGCTGGCCCCTCACCTGGGCTTTACAACAGTCTGGTCCATAGAGGACTCTTTGAAGGAAGCCCAGGGCTCACAGGTGCTGTTTGTTGTGGGCCAGCTATTAGCTGTCATAACGGTGAACTGGGCATCGTTTGGGGTCATGGTTTAGAGAGTACCTCAGGACGATAGTCTCAGCGAATCTGCTGGTCTCAGCTGGCCCGATAAGTCTGGATTTTTTAAGAATAAGTTCAACATTCCGCTCCCTTTGTATCGGGCTGCATCTCTGGTGGCTCTGATCAGAGCGGTCAGTGGTGGCTACTGGGCGTGACCCAGTCCTGCTGGTCTGCTGTAGGGTCTTAATCAGGGAGTGACAATGCTGTCTGGACTCAGGGTACTGAGTCCCTGATGTGAACTCCGAGGACATGTTGCGGGACCTTGAGCCGTTGGGGGGTTTGGAAGGAGACAGTGCAGTGCAGTCATTGGGAGAAAGCCTGGGGCCACACCAGCCCCTGTCACTGACCCCCAGTCTCCCGTTTTTCCAGAAGAAGAAGACCTCACGCAGAAGGCAGCCGTGCAGGAGGGGCTGTCGGACATGGATTACCTGAAGTCCAAGGTCGTGAAGGCCGAGCTGCTGTCTTCCGAGGAGGAGGAGGAGGAGGAGGAGAGTGAAGATGAAGCCGTGAACTGTGAGGAGAGCAGTGAGGACGAGGGCCCAGCGCAGCCTGAGCTCGAGAGGACAGGGGCCGGCCATGGGCAGGGACAGCCGCTGCCACCTGAGGCCAAAGCCGAGGTGTGTGGGGTCAGGGGTGTTGACTCGGGGGAACTGGGGCGAGAGTGAGCTCGTGTATCACCCTTAGGAGCTGGGCACTTTAACCACTGCTCCACCAGAAAGATCATAAAAGCACGTCCCTGTGGGGTTGGTAGACAGACATGGCGGGTGAGCGACCCCAGCATGCTGGCCCGGAGCAAGGCCTCCAGAGGGGTCCCAGGCACCACGGGCTTCAGGGTTTCCTGCTGTTGCCTCCTGGCCGCCTGGGCCCGATGGCACCCCTCACCTGCTGGGCTCTGCCCTCTTAGGTGCACGTGGAGCTCACGCTCTCACTTCTGCCTCTGCCGCCACACTGGGCACAGGTCTGGTGGGCCGTGAGCCTTCCTCACTCCCTCCCACGTCAGGCCCCTCGTTGGCACACTGAGGCGTCAGGCCGGCCTCTTCCTGCCAGAGGCCTAGGCACTCACTGTGACCTCTTCTGTGTGTCTGTGGTCACCCAGGCAGAGAAGCCGGCAACCCAGAAGGAGCCCACTACCCCTCACACCGTGAAGCTGCGGGGAGCTCCGTTCAACGTCACGGAGGTATGTGTTCACCAGGGATAAGGCCACGCACCTCCTCGTGGGTGGGAGGCAGAGGGCGCCTGGGACCATGGTAGCAGGGTGCCTTGTGATGAGCTGGGCTGGAAAGAAGGAGTTGGAGACCAAAGCTACCTCTCCCTGAGTCAGAAAAAGATAGTGACTGAGACGGGGAGGCCAGTCTCACTAATGGTCTAAACCAGTGGTCGGCACCCGGGTAGCAGCGAGGCCTTTGCGGCTGATCTGAGGTGCTCTGGTGGTGCAATGCTTTAGCACTTCATTAGTCACAGGGTCAGCAGTTTGAACTCACGAGCTGGTCTTAGGGAGGAAGGAGATAGTTGGCTTCCAGAAAGATGACTGCCTTGGGAACCCGCCATGACAGTTCTGCTCCGGCCCAGAAGGTTAGAGTTGACTGGATGGCAGGGGGCAAGCGGGTGGGCACCATGAGCCATTGGCCGCCCAGGACCTCCTGACAAACAAACCCGAGAAAAGGATAGAAAAGCCAAGTCAGAAATTTGTCTCTGTTGGGTTGCACTTAGTCATCCATGGGATTGATAAAGACGAAGTCTTTATCTTACAGAAAAATGTTACGGAGTTTCTGGCACCGCTGAAACCAGTGGCCATTCGGATTGTGAGAAATGCTCATGGGAACAAAACAGGTGAGGCTGGGATGTTTCAGGGCGGGGGGGGGGGGGCTCGAAAGGCACGCGGTCCCGGAGGGAGACGGGGGCAGTAAGGAGGGCCTCTTTAAGGGCAACAGTTTGCCCCCTTTGGGTCCTCAGGTCTGTGGGTGGTCAGGACCCTCTTGTCACCTCCCTCTCAGCACACCTGCCAAGGGATATTAGTCTGAAGAGGCAAAGATTTTTAAAAAGGCAAAGAAACAAACTCGTAGTCGTGAGGACCGACTCCTAGCTGAGCTGCCACTGGGTTTCTGAGGCTGTAAATCACCTGGGAGGAGATCGCCCGTCTGTTCCTCTTGGAGCTGCTGGTGATTCGAACAGCCCGAGAAGCTCAGCCATTGAGTTCGCCTGCAGCTCCTTACTGACTGGGCCACCAGAGCTCCCAAACACGGAGAGGTTTCTTTCCCTAACTCCGGTTGGATCTTCACACCCACATTAAAGTGTGTCTCTCTGGGGTGTCCTCTGAGTGTCTCGGGGGTCTGTGGGCATCACCTGTGTCATTGTCTTCTCCCAGGTTACATCTATGTGGATTTCAGCAGTGAGGAGGAGGTGAAGAAAGCGCTGAAGTGCAACCGGGAATACATGGGTGAGCGTACCCCCGAGTAGGAGTAGGAGGGGCTGGCTGTTTATTTGCTCCGTGGGTTTTTATTGTACACCTACAGTATGTGAGGCTCGGTGCTGGGCCCTGGGGCAGCAGTGGGCAGACAGCTGTACACCCTGCCCCGGTGGAGCTGACACAGAGTGGAGATACACAAGCATAAAGAAATAGGGACAGTGCGTGGGTCCCCAAGGGGTGAGGACCACAGGCTCCCATCACCGCCCCTCCGTGAGCATCAGGGGAGCGGAGAGCTTGATGGTAGATTTCAAAGCTATAACTTTAGCAGGAACTTACAGACCAAAATATCACCTTTCCAGACCACCCTTATTTTATTTTATTTTTTTTTTCTAGCAAGTGTTATATAGTTTCTTAACTGGGAATTCAAAAGACCCAACAAACCCCACCCAGCACTTTGCTGTGGGAGAATGCCCAGCAAACAAAGATTTGGAGACCAGAAGGCCATGGGACATATTTTCAAATGAAGTCCTGTCCTCCTGGGCCTCGCAGAGAATGTGATGTTGGGACGGAGCACGAGGAGCTAGGGAGCAGGCTCTGGCCACTCGGGGGCCAGGGCTGTGATCAGGGGTCAGCTGACTGACACCCAGGCACAGAACCTCTGGCTGTCTCTGGGGTGGGTGCCTGATTCGGGCCCAGCCATCAACCCTCAGTGGGTTCCGTCAGGCTGGGTGGGGCAGCTGCCTGGCTGAGGTGTGGGCACCTACCATGTGCACGTGACAGATTGGAGGGTAGTTGTGATTTTATAGGACACGTGGGACAGTGCGTGTAAACAGCCCCAACAGCAGTCCTCGATCATTGTCCAGTGTCATCGTGTCACATTCATTAGACCCTTACCCCAGCAGCCAGGCAGAAGGGATGGTGCTAGTACCCAGGAAGTAGAGGTCTTGTCACTGTGTCCCAGGCCACACACGATTCCAGCTGAGTTGAAACTGAACCTGTAAAATGAGTGAGGTTCTGAGCCTTCAGTTCAGACCCCACAGTAGTCAGGCGATGGCAGGTGCTGCCATTAGCTGCCTGGGCCAGGGCATCCCACAGCGAGGAAGAGAAGACTGGAATCCCCAGTCGGGTCACTGGCAAGTTCTGGCTGCTCTCTGGAGCTCTGGCTTCTCCTCCCATGCAGGTGGACGCTACATAGAGGTGTTCAGGGAGAAGAGTGTTCCACTGGGCAAGGGGCCCTTGAAGAACAACGCCAAGCCCTGGCAAGGCCGGACGCTCGGGGAGGACGAGGAGGAGGAGGACCTGGCTGACTCGGGACGGCTCTTTGTGAGAAACCTGCCCTACAGCAGCACCGAGGAGGACCTGGAGAAACTCTTCTCCAAATATGGTAGGGCCTTGGTGCTCATCGCCCAACACACAGGCCGTAGAGTGAGCAGTGACACTGGGGAAGGGTGCACGCCTCGGTCCAGTCAGCCATACAGGGCTGAAAGGGCAGCATTTGCCCACAGACAGAGCTCAAAAGGCAGAAAGGGTACAGGAAAGAAGGATGAGGGGAAAAGGGAGACGGAGGGAGGAAGCAGGAAGTGTGCTGTTACAGTAAGTGAATTGCAACCAGTGTCACAAAGCGAAATGGGAATAAATTGATAAATAGACCTGACTCCCTCTGAGCTGCTGTCAGAGTCACTGGCCTGTTGACGTGTTTAGAGGGTTAGCAGGGCACATGATCCAAGGTAACAAATGTTATTTTCTATTTGAGCTCTTGTCTCTTCCTCTCCAATCTCAAAACCAAGCCTTGGGGCTTTCCACATCACTTAATATCAGCCTCAGCCTGGATCTAGGAGGTTCTCAGCTTAGGGACTCTGGGTCCACAGGAGACTTTCCCTCTTTGAGTCTTTTCCTGGTGCTAGCCCTGTCCTTCTCTCTCTGCTCTGTTCTCTCTGTCTCTTATGAGATTGAAGAGGATGGCCACTGTAATCTTACAACATCATGTCACTGCATGGGGACAGTTACATCATTCTATACCTATTAAATGACATCACCCCATAACTCAGACCGCCGGGACCATGGCCCAGCCAAGCAGACACATATTTTGAGGAGACACAGTTCAGCTGTGGCAGAGCCTGTGTTCACTGCTGCCTTGCCTGCTGGGTCTCCCCTCGGAGGACCAGGAGAGGACATCCTTCATATGCTACAGTTAGTCATGTGGGATGACAGAGGCTGAGAAATGGGACATGGCCAGGCCCTGGTGTTGAGATGCAAGTCCAGATTGAGAAGCGCTGTGCCTGAATTTGAGATATGCACAGTAATGTACACTAACATGTATGTACTAGGAACTGTTCAACACAGGACTGCATTTAACTCTCCCTGCTGCCCCATAAGGTGGGTCCTCTTCCTGTGCCATTTCACAGACAAGAAGACTGAGGCACTTGTAGGGCAAGTGCCTTTCCCAGGGCCACGTGCCTGCAGGTGATGGAGCCAGGATTCCGCCCTGGGGTCTTGACCATATGCTGCCTCTACTCTCAGAGTAGACATAGGCAGGCCTGTGAGGAGATACCTCTAACCAGTGAGATCGGCCTCACAGGGACATCAGCATGCCTGTCACCCTATTTGAGTAGTAGTTCAGCGACACCCTATTAGTGTGTGAAACCGAGGTTCAGCCCTGACCTCTAGGATACTGACCCTCTCCCGTCCTCAGGTCCGCTGTCTGAGCTGCACTACCCCATCGACAGCCTGACCAAGAAGCCCAAGGGCTTCGCCTTCGTCACCTTCATGCTCCCCGAGCACGCAGTGAAGGCCTACGCCGAGGTGGACGGGCAAGTGTTCCAGGTGCTTGCTCCCCGCCACCCCCAAGAGGCTGCATTCCCTGTGGACAGAGGGTTGGGTCTGACTCCAGCACCTAGAACGGTGCTTGGCACAGTAGGTGCTTAAAAAGCTCTGTGGGTTCTCTGTCCGAGGAGGTAGCACCCTGCAGGAGGAGTAAGGAAAGGGGCAAGGTGGACGTGGTCAAAATGGCCACAGAGAACATGCAGAACGTTGGCTTGCTTCCAGTCACCCCCAGGGAGGGCTTGGCAAGCCTCCTTTGGCCCCTCAGGCTGCTGTGGGGCCCCTTTTCCTCTTTGCCTTTCACGGCTCCAAATGTCTTGGCCACCAGGCCACCCCTGATGGAGCACAGGGGAGGCTTGTAAACAGATCAAGGGCTGCACGTGTCAGCTTGTCAGCGCACTGAGGGTTACACATGTCAGCGTGTCAGCATATTGAAGCTGTGTCTCTGAGGCTGTCAGGGGCCCCTCACAACGTCAGATCCTGTGTCCTGGGGCCGAGACCTTCATTCTGGCCTAGGGGGCCACATTGTCATAGTACCTGACACTGCGGTGTCCTGTGATCAGGCCCCCACTTGAGTCTGAAGGCTCAGCCATCTAACTCACACCCCATCACCCCTGTGTCCCGGGGCCAGTTCCCTGTCCTGCACTGAGGGTGGTCAGCTGGCCATTCTGCCTGATTGCCTTGTGGCCAGGACCCTGTTCTGCCCTGAGGGTGGCCATGGGGACATTCTACCTGACTGTCCTCTCTGTGGCCAGGTCTCTCCCTCCCCCACACTGGCCTGAGGTGGCCTCTGAACTCATCCTCTGATCAGGGTGCCAGCATGGGGTCCCGCCCATGAACCCCCCCAGGGAGACAGCAGGTAGATGGTTGAAGGCAGCTCTGATCCCTCCCTCCCCCTCGTCCCCTCGCAGGGCAGGATGCTCCACCTGCTGCCGTCCACCATCAAGAAGGAAGCCAGCGAGGACGCCCACACGCCGGGATCCTCTTCCTACAAGAAGCAGAA